GCAAGGACAGGAACGTGGGTTTATTCTTAGTCCGTGAATATATCGCGCGCTTTCCGTCTTTTATTCCGAGACTGAATTAATCTTTTCAGTCGTTTTCTTTTTATACCCGATCCACCCTGTACTTTTTAACTACGTCGTCTTTAATTTCGGAAGAGGTATCTTTTAGATGCATTTTCGCCGATTCTTTAAATGATTTTCCCGCAATTACGTTTGATCCGACACCTGATGCAAAATTTAACACTTTTCGTCTTAGATATTTTCCAACTTTACTCAAAATAGAAATACATTTACAAAATAAATCTCCAAAAAATCCGTATCCTCGTTGAATTTGGGGTCCCACAAAATAACCTCCTCCCGGCATTAGTTTCCTCATGTATGAATCGGGAGTCCATATTTTTTCTCCTGCTTGATCGCTATAATAATTTATACAAACTTTAGGATCGAGCTTCATTTTGTACTTCTCACAGATGAACTAACAATAGAAAATAAACTAAGTAGTATTTATAACTGTTTAAAAGATAAAACTAATAACGTTTTTCCACCAAAAAAATGATTTGTTTTCCCCCAGCAGATCTCAGCTTAATTTCTATAGAATCTATATAATTTTTTTTACAGGAAAATACAATGGTGTCGAATAAACTCTAAATATCTGATCTTCTTTTTCTCCCATAACAGGTATAACTCTTAATAACGGCGCTGTTATATCTCCAACGTGATGGGAGGAAATAATATTCGAATAAATAAAAATTTCTGATATTCCGGCTGACATTTTGATCGGATAGTGACTTATATATTCCCCTGGTGGAAATTTTGCAGTTGTAAACCCTAAGAAATCTTTTAATTCATTTCCGAATTCTACAGAGATATTCGACGGAACTTTTAAAATAATTTTATTATTCGGTAGTAAAGCTAGCTTTATATATTTAAAAATTCCTAAAAACTTTTCAGGAGACGAATATAATCCTATAGGAATAAAGATTTTTTCATCCCTATAAGTTTTCTTAATTACTTCTTTTTTTCTATTTTTTTCCACTAAAGTAAAAAATTGATTGGAATAGGCCTTCGTCGATAATCGAAAATTATAAGTTGAATTCTCCCTTAGCACGATATCTTCGTTAGGTAAATTTAGCATATAAAGTAATTTTGACGCATGCTCGACCGTAATGTGCAACTCGTGTGCATCTTTTATATTTACGTCTACGGTTTGTTTATCTTCATCAAAAATAAATTCTGCCAAATTAGAATTCGTTAACGAAAGTATGTTTTCGTTTATTCCATCAAACAATTTACTTTCTTTATCTTTAATAGGAATCAAAGGAACCAAATATGATTTATCCGGCAACGGCTCGTCTTTTTCTTTTATAATTTCTTCGAACGTAACAACGTAATCGTTATTGTGGTTAGATATATTAAACCAATTTCTCGGAATAATAACTTCACTAAGTCCAACTGCCCAATTTCCATGTAAATTAATGGGGGGACTCATTTTCACCATAAAATTAGACTGAGTATTTTTTGGAAACAGGTCCATACTTGCATTACTTATCAACGTGACAAAAAAGTCTGACTGCATCATTTTGTTACCTTTTGCAATTCTTCGGTATAAAACCTTCCTTTCAAAATTTCGTTATTTGCGTCTTTCAATACGTAAGTCGGAGGATGCGATATAAATCGATCGTGAACAACAAATATTTCCTTCGTCCACCCCGGCAGATANTCCACTAAAGTAAAAAATTGATCAAAATAGGCCTTCGTTGATAATCGAAAATTATAAGTTGAATTCTCTCTTAACACGATATTTTCGTTAGGTAAATTTAACATATAAAGAAATTATGACGCATGCTTGACTGTGATGTGCAACTTGTGTGCATCTTTTATATTACATAAACAGTTTGCTTATCTTCATCAAAAATAAATTCTGCCAAATTAGAATTTGTTAACGAAAGTATGTTGTCGTTTATTGCATCAAACAATTTACTTTCTTTATCCTTAATAGGAACTAAAGGAACCAAATATGATTTATCCGGCAACGGCCCGTCTTTTTCTTTTATAATTTCTTCGAACGTAACAACATAATTGTTATTGTGATTAGATATATTAAACCAATTTCTCGGAATAATAACTTCACTAAGTCCAACTGCCCAATTTCCATGTAAATTAATGGGAGGACTCATTTTCACCATAAAATTAGACTGAGTATTTTTTGGAAACAGGTCCATACTTGCATTACTTATCAACGTGACAAGAAAGTCTGACTGCATCATTTTGTTATTTTTTGCAATTCTTCAGTATAAAACCTTCCTTTCAAAATTTCGTTATTTTTGTCTTTCAATACGTAAGTCGGAGGGTGCGATATAAATCGATCGTGAACAACAAATATTTTCTTTGTCCACCCCGGTAGATATCCACAACTAAATGTTTTAAGTATTTTCGAAATTCGAACTAAATCAACGATATTAAATTTAAATTTACCTTATCTTTTTATACCATACAGCCTATCAAAAATTGTACCGTAATGCAGAAAACTAACTTCAGATGGAGCCATACCGATACTTCTGTGAAAACTATTATTATATCCTATTACAATATCGTTTAATTTATCAATATATTGATAAGAATTACGGTAAGTAAATAACCTATATATTTTATTTCATAAAGTTTTATTTAATCTCTCGACCATGGAAGCTTTAGTATCTGAATGAGTCGAATAATGATTAATTTTATATCTTTAAACAAACTTTTTACTAACCTATTATAAAATTCAGTTCCTTTATCAGTTTGCAGATTTTTAGGAATATTTCGTTTAAAATTAATTTGAAAAGCTTCCAAAATAGACTTAGGTTCTTTATCCTTTATTGGCACAATGTAACAATATTTACTAAATACATCAATTACGGTTAATAAATATTTTATTCCATTATTATACCTAGAAAATTGCTTTAACACGATTAAATCGGCCTGCCATAGATCGTTAGGATAAAAAGCTTTAGTTTTTCTTTGCGAGTACTTAACTCTTACAGGTTTATGAAGCGAATAAACTGGTTGCGAAAACAGCCATTTATCGACCACAGATTTAAGTAAATTAGAAGCTTTAGCTAGTTTACTCACTCCTCCAAACGATGCTGAAGATTTAGGATTATAATATATCGATTTCAAAAGTTTCTCCATTCAGGACCCTTTTTCGTCTTTTTTTTGTAGATGATTTTTTCCACTGGTAAAATATTCTCGGAGAAATTGAAGAAAAAAATTTCTTCGGGACTTTCAACAGGTGTCGGTTGATATCTTAGTTGCTTGCCGATTTCGGGAAGAGTCGCCGAACTTTTGTTTTCAATCCACTCTTTAGGAATATTTATTTCTCGTAAGGCTTGCCAAAATTCATTAAAACCAGAAGGGGCTAATAGGGTTTTTCTATTTCTTATTAAATGAAATATTAAATCCACGATATGACTTCCAACAACTGGTTTACTGCGGATTGTCAATTCGCCTTTTTCATTCTATCCGTAATGATTTTGTCTCAGTCTGTCAATTAAATGCGGTACATATTTTCGATATAACTGAGGGACAGATATAGTAATTTGTTTAACAATTACATCTTCCCTATTATTATCGGGTTTTTCTTCGGGTCGAGAAGACACTTCTTGATTTTCGTCCGGTACGACGGATTCTCTAACTGGTTCTTTTGGTGCATGAATCGTTCTCTGATATCTCGAAATCAGTTAACTTAACGCCTTAAGTTCTTAGCCCGAGTTAACTCGGGCAAGACGAGCGCTTGCGTAGTTCTTCGCCCGAGTTAACTCGGGTAACAATAAAAAACTCTCTCGTAAACGTTCTATGCACGATATTACTCGGGAAAAGCTTATTTTGTATTCTATTGGATGTTGNCAAGGTAATTTTTTAAGCGACCTTTTTCCCGAAACAAGAAACTTGAAGGGTTAATAATTTAACTTCACTATCGTCAGATAAATCGGTACTCTCGAGTAATTCTTCAATATTATTACCAATTCTTATTTCAGGTTTCCAATATTCTGCTAACAATTCGGGAGGGACTAAAGCCATTTGCTTCACCATTAGATTCTTTTTCCTATTACTTTACAAATTAATCCTCCTGCCATTGACAATAATGGCGCCAGTAGAAGAGGAAGGAATCCACCATATTGATTAACTAAAATTCTTTTCTTGGTATTTATAGGAACGTGTTTTTCACTTAATTTCCGGATTATTTTTTATATTATCGTAATTTATGAACGTTGACAGGTATATTTCCTCTCTGCAAATTATCGCATATTTCGCACAAAACTTTAACTTGATAGAGAGTAGCCTCTTTCAATATTGCTCTTTGCTGAGACAGAGTAGTTTTAGCTAAAAGCGCCAGCATATGGTAATTTTTCTTTACGTTCTTCATTTTATTGGTAAGTATAGCCAAAAAGTACCTTGTTTATCCGGAAAACACGAATCTCAAACCGACAGTTTTTTGTCTGTTTTTGGGTGAAAATCCAATAACAAATAACCAAAATTTTTTTCCGTTGCTTTTTTATACGCATTCCTAAAAAAATTTACATTTTCCTGCAAAAGGTTGCCATCCCAAACAACTTACTTGACTTTTATCACAATTATTTTTAAACAAAATCAAATAATGAGTATTTAAAGTTATATCTCTCATAATTTTATTTTTTGGAAACAAATTTTGCATTATCAGGATCACACTTACGTTATAATGATAAGACTCTGTAGTAAAGAGGAATGCAGTTTTTGAGCCGAGTTTGTGCATCAATTAATCAATTATTACTAAATCCCATCTTTGCACGGATTCAGGTAAACCATACATAAATGTAATATTTTTTCGTTATGAAAAAACTGCAAATATACAGAATAACACCATAAAATTTTTTTTAATGATTTTTCATAAATTTTACAGCGAATAATTTTTCTTACCAGCGTTGTCTTTCCACATTGCGACGGCCCAGCAATTATACAGTTACTCGGATGCTTAAAATACATCATCAGTCGATTTTATGAACTTTAGTAAATTTATAATGCTTTGATCCACAGTTTATCTCTCTAAATATTAATATATTCTTCTTGTTCTTTTCAACATAAACTTCGTTCATAACATCCGAACAGTCCTCGAACGAATAATATAAGTTATTACTTACTTCGTTAATTCTTCCGTCCTCGTCAACAATTACAAATCCAAACTTTTCATTTCCTTTCCACATTTCTCCGTTAACTTTAAAATAACGCAAAACAATTGGAAAATTATCGGGAATATCAAAAGAAAAGTTATTTACCGCAGCAATACAGCTATCCAAAGACTTGTACAGGCGAAAAAAACAGAATAATTTCTGTCTGCGTCGTAGGTAATAATAAAACCGTATGCTTCCATAACTGATTCAATCTTTAAAATAAATTCTANGTTAATTCTTCCGTCCTCGTCAACAATTACAAATCCAAACCTTCCATTTCCTTTCCACATTTCTCCGTTAACTTTAAAATAACGCAAAACAATTGGAAAATTATCGGGAATATCAAAAGAAAAGTTATTTACCGCAGCAATACAGCTATCCAAAGATTTGTACAAGCGAGGAGAAACAGAATAATTTCTGTCTCCATAGGTAATAATAAAACCGTATGCTTCCATAACTGATTCAATCTTTAAAATAAATTCTAACATATATTAAAATTGAATTTATATGAAACAACTGTCCAATCACATTTAATTGTGAAATATAAGTAATTGTAAAATTATATATATAAAATAATTTTGTAATTAGTATATAAGTAATTGTAAAAAATAAATTAATTTTTGTGATTAGTACGTGTCAAACGAATTTTGTGATTGGTACGTGTCATATGTATACTACTAATATGATAAGAAAGATAAAGTTTATAATATAAGATAGAAAAAATAATTAAAGACAAAGAAAATAAATATTTAGTTAAGTGGTTAGGATATCCGGAATCATTTAATAGTTGAGTTGATGAGAAAGATATATTTTCAAACTATGATTAACAAACATTTTATTTTATTTTTATATGATGTACAATCAGTAAAGCTATGTCCTCTCTTCCTGCAACATAGAGAGATTTCTCAATCACTGATAAAATGACTGTTAAAAAAAAAAAAAAAAAGCTTATATTCAGGAAAAGCAATCAGAGCATTTAAAATCTTTGGTAAGACATTTGTTAATTCTGATGCTGACATTCCCGTGTTTAAAAGATAAGGATATAGACATATCTTTATAAAACTTTCTTATTTGTCTTTCATGTCTTAAAGTTATTGTTATGTTTTTCTGTGAACAAAAATTTTAAACCAATCAGACCAACTTGAAGTTTCCAAAATTTGCCAATATCTTAATTTATAGTTTTCATTAAGCTCACATAGTAGTAATCCTAATTCATAAGGTCGTTTAGAAGAAATTATATGACTAGAGTTGTATGCTAAGACCGCATTTTTAACATTTATAAGCCTTTGTTCACATGTCATTTTACCTGGTAATTAAAATCCCTCATCTGAATATGATTGTCTCACATTAATTTTTCTCTGTAACATTTTCAAGGGTTCTTCTATTTCTTTAGTTTGTTTTTGCCTCCTTTCTTCTTTCAATATAAGTTTATAAATTTGCCTTACTTTATCTTTAGACAACAACGAGTAATCATTAACATCTAGAAATTCACCTAACTCAGCACAATGTCTTTCATAGTTTCTTATCACTACATTAAAATTTGAAATTTCCTTAGTAGCACACATACTGACTGTATTCACTAAACTGAACAAGAAAAGAATATTTCATTATGTTGTAATATATATTATTCATGTACTATTATTAGTCATGTTATAATTCATCAACTTCCTGCGCGTTCTTACCAATTTAAATAAAAAAATTTATTTTTTAATATGATTTAATGAATTTGTACAACGTATTGTACAAAAATTTGTTTAATAAATGAAGCCGTGCAAACGTTGTAAAACAAATAAACCCTTCATTGAGTATATATAGTATATATAATGATTTTAAAAATGGTTATTCTCAATGGTGTAAAGGTTGTGCTGGTGAATACTTTAAAAGTTATTATGCAAAAACCAAAGACACAAAACAAGAATTAATAGAACGTGAACGTGATAAAAAGACTTTTAAAATCATACTTAAAACAGCATGTGAAAAATAATATTCATAGAAAGCGATTAAATAAAATTAAAAAGTGTAGAAATTGCAAAAATGAAAAACCTTTAAATGAATTTCACAAAAATAAAAGAAATACTGATGGATATGATTATATTTGACTTACATTTACCGTAGCATATTCATGTTAGTTTTTGAATGTTAATCTATTCTATTCTATTTATTCAAAACTATTCATATTTATAAAAGAATATTGTATTTAGATATTATACTTATTCTTATTTTCTTTATTGTATCAGTTTTGACCGGGGCGATAACTTACTCACACAGGACCCGACGTAAATAACGAATTCAGAAGATTTTTGAAATTTTACGCTTTTTAAATTAATCTGTCCACACTGTTCATAAATTTGGCCAGCCAAGTTAAAAATCTATGCTTAGACATTTATCCTGCACTCGGTAAAGTCGACCCATTTCAATTGTTATGTATATGTGACGATGCGAAACCCTTTCGTTTTATAACAGTATCACCCTTCTAATAAACTTCGTGATTAGGTAAAAAGGGAAAAAGATGGACTTCTGCGGTCGATGACCGAGATGATCTCGAAAAAATCGTCAATATATCAATAAACGAAATCTTCTCCATTTGTTTAAAGGTAATTCTATAGACGTTAATATCAACAAGACGGGAATAAGAGATGTTTTTACCCTTCTCTTTGGTTGCACGTGACACGTAATTACGGCAATAAATCGCCTCCTTCGTAGTCAAACGCGACGTTTGATATAAACAATATCTAGATAGTTGACAAGGTTAAAGAAATTATTGTCAGATGAATGTTAATTTATGGATGAGAGCCGTCAAACCTATAGAAATTTATATTATAAAATCATATCTTCTAGACACTGATAGCAATAAATCAAACAAACTTCTCTATGTCAATTGTCAGTACAAGCTAGGTCTAGACATCAACACACGAACAGGTGTGCGTATAATTCATTAATGATGTCATAGTTCTCACCCCCTCAAAAATAGTATAAAGAGGGCTTGAACGCAGTCCACAGGGCGGACATTCAGAAGAGGGACATTCACAAGGCGGACATCGACTGCCACATCTACTGACCCATACTGTCACCCTATCCGTCGCTACCTCTCCATAACTGCCGTGACGATCCAGGAACGTTTTTACCAACGACCCATATTACGGATCGGGAACTTAGAGGTATTTGTTTTTGGATTTCTATTTGTATACTCTCTCTCTCTCTCTGCGAAATCTCTCTCTGAGAAATCTCTCTTCTAGAGATCTCTCTCTCGTGTCTTAACTTAGAGAATAGAGATTAGATGTTTCGTATGAAAGACAAATCATTGTCGCGACATAAATAGAATTTTTGTAGATCTTCACCTTCGCCTTTGATATGTACAATTTTATAGCTATTTATTAAATGTGTTATTTTTGTTCAACCTGTGTATTCATTTGGGAACCTGTCAACTTACTCACTGACCTCCCCACTCAATTTTATTTTGCCCTCCTATAAAGCCATTCTCTGACAGAGCCGCAGGTAAGTGGGGACAACTAACCCCCTCGGTTCTCACATATATGAGACGAAGAACGCGTCTAATATTCACTTTTCAAAGCGAAAACTTCAGAATGGTATCTTCACCTGCCAACTCCCATTCCCCGCCGTTAAGCGGAAAGAAATAAAATTGCCAGCTAAACACCCCAGAAAGTTGCGGTTTGTTTCGTTTGAATAAAAATGTAAGACTTTTCACACGGAACCGTTAGTGTAGAAAAAAGAACACGAGTCAGACACGAAGAATGGTTAAACGTGATAATTATTAAAATTTATTCTTACAAAAAGGATAGAATTTTAAAAACTACGTATTGTATTTACTGAAGATAATATTGTGAGAAATAGAGGCGCCATTACGCTTTTACTGTGATAGGGAGCACATAGAACACTTTGCATGCGTGGAGCGTAGTTGTGTTTTGCCCCTGTAAATCGTACTTTTGTTGTTATCAAGAAAGTCCTGCTAGTTATCTACGTAATTTCTTTCGGGGGAAAATATTTGTATTGAAATAACGTGACTGGAAATATAAATCGGAAGTTCATACATATTAATAATTAAATTAATCTGGTCGTATTTTTCTTACGATTTCCACGTCCGTTTTCCGATTTCATCTATTTATCCGGTCTCGAGATTAAAGAGAAACAGAGACAGACGGACAAGAGCGCGAACTTATAGGCTAAAAAATTTTTCCGAATTGCTACGATTTTATATATAAAAATCGTTGTTTAAAATATTTTAAAAAAATCTTTAAATACAAGTTAGCGAAAGCGAAACTGTGGAAAAAATCAACAAGATTATCTGTGATAACATTTGTTTTCTGAACTTCTCTGCTTCTCGGAATTAGCGAAAAACTTCGAGATTGGATAACAACAAAATTATACATCCGATTTTACCATTATTTGAAACACGATGGCTTAGGATGCTGACTGAAATTTTAAAAAAACGAGAAATTATTTTCTAAATTATTATTTATTATTTTAAATTAGTAGTAACTTGTTATGCCAGAGTCTAACTCTTTACGAGGGAAAATATTGAATAACGTGACTTCCCGCCTGTATTGAAAGTTTACGTAATCAGTATTTACTGCCCCAATTCTTTCAAATCTATTTTCCGAATTTATTTATCTAACTCAGTGGGAATTTATATATTTTACAATTTTTTTTAAAATTGAAATCCAACCAAGTAAAGTTTGAAAAAATCGCACAGTTCAGTGGTCCTCCCTCAGAGTTCGGTTGACGTGATGTAACAATATATCAAGTATTTTGTCACATCGCATCTCAATACTTCAGTATCGAACGCGATGTTATAACATTTTTAGCCGATTAAATTAATTTTCAAGGTGTTATTTAAATGTTTCAAAAAGAATAAAATCACCCAGAAATCTATATTTGTATACAGTAGAATGAAATTTATGTTTTATTCCTTTTTCGTAAATTTATATGGAAAATAATTTATGATGTATTAACTTGTAAATTTACAATCTGCTTCCATATCTCCACTAAGAATTTTTAACAATGTTTCGAAATCGCCTTTTAATTTATTGATAATATTTGTATTTATATTTTCTAAAGCAGATTGAATATTTATTGCTAGAATGGAATCAATCAAATCACAGTTTGTAAGTCCAGCACGGCTATCGACGTAAATAACAATAAGACATTTGTATATTTTTGCTGTAACATTTCTTTTAGTATTTTCTAAGATGAACCTTACTCTACCTGTAGTTAATATTGAAAGACATTCAACCACTTTAACTAAATTAGCCGTATCAATTTTGAAACAAACTTTCTTTAACAAGCACGATAAATATGTTACACTTGACATCACGTCACTTCCGCCGCCTATTTCATTTTCACAGCCGAGGGAAGGGAACGTACTCGAATCCAGACACTGCGGTAACCCAGCTGTTATATTCTGAAAATATCAAAAACGACTAAAATTTAAAAAGAAAATCTCTGACTACTTTTCAAGATTCGGGCGTATAATTCCTAGTTAATAAAAAGAACTGTAAACATTAAATATACATTACAATAAAATTTTATCAAACAATACAAATGACTGTTGCAAGAATATTACTTAAATATTAGAGTTAATTAAATTAATAATCCTTTGTCAGCTGTTAACACAAAGCCTTTAGAAAAATAATATTTGATTCTCTTTAAAACACGTAAACTATAATTAGAAACGAATTATGTCATGATAATTATCGTAAATTTTTTTATTAACAATACATTTTATAAATGAATGCGAAATAAAGATTTTTTCAATTGTTTCGCCATGATTAAGCACGAGTGACGCACTTTAATCAAGGTAAATTACGTTTAAAAATCCTACAAAAATATTTATCAGCATCTTGGTATACCAAAATGAATAATGAATATTCTAAAATTAAACAAAGAATATGAATCCATAAGATGACTTTCTTACAAAAATACTTTAGATTATTGTAATAAATATGACTTTGTGGTCCTGAAACATAAACTGACAAGTGTTATAACTATTTACATAGTATTTAGTAGATAATTGTCCTAGATCTAGAAATAGCGAGAACAAATCAAGTTTCTATAATAACACTAGTGCACATTGAAACGCTATAGTATTAATTATTTATGTTAATTAAACGTTTTTACTTACAACAAGTGCTACTTTCACCTCTTCAGTCACTTGAGGAAATAAAGTGTCAAAATCAAGATTTTCGTTCGCAATAGTTAAAATTGTTTTGACCACACAATTTCCGGGTTGTTTTGGAATTAAAGCTTAAAAATAAATAACAAATAAAAAATAAATATTGATAATGCTAAGAAAAAAATTTGTGTTTATTTACACTAACATATCAAGAACTATATGACTGTTGTGAATAAATATTTAAAAAGAACAAATTTTACTAATCTAAAAACAAGGAAATAAATAAATAAGTACTTAAAATGAAAAACGGCAGCAAAAACTTCATGATGATTGTATTTGTAACTCAAAAGCAAAACAGAATGCGTAAATTGAGACTTCAATTAACAATGGCGAATTATCGTCTATGACACTAATTTATATATTTTAATATGTACAAGTTGTGATTTGACGTCACATGGATGTACAGTGCGATATTTGCACCTGTTTCGGTTGTAATTTCTACCCACGTTCATTTCAAAATACTTTTTCAGTTAAAAAATTAAATTAGGAAATTTTTATTTAAATTTTGATTAGACTTAAAATGTTTTTTTAAAATATTTTAAAAAATTATATACTAACATGAATTTATACGTTCTCCACGAAAAATTAACAGTTGCTTTCCGCTGTGTATCATACTTTTACTGTAGCAATTGTCATGCCGTCTTCTATTTATTTTCTTACAGAGAAAAATGTTTGAATTAAAATACAGTCACTTCAGGATTGTATGAGACGTTCCTAAATAGTTAATAAGGGCAAACATCCAAAATCTCCCGTGTCTGGTTTAGGTTTTCATCTAACATCGTTCTCGATATTAATTAAAAATACCTCTAACTCTGGTATACAACGTCGTCTGGACTATCGTGGACCTGGGAGGTGGTCATCGGGTTATCTTGGTACAGAGACTGCAGGTATGGCAGGTAGCGACAGACAGAGTGGCGATAAGAGTCTGGTGTCCGCTGTAGATGTCCCCAGATGCTATCAACTGTGAATGTCCGCCCGGAGGACTGTGTCCCAGCGGAGAGGGAGAAAAATCGGGGAATAGTTTGATGCAAATCCATGTAATTTCGACTCGTCCGGAATTGTTTATGTTAGCTGTCAAACATCCGAATCTTTCTGTAGATTTATTACTTCTTCTATCCGGTATTGTCACTTCTTCCCTGTCATAAATTTGATAACAGTTGTCAAACTAACGGAATTAATTGCTAGAGGAGACTAAGGTCAGAATTAGTCTTGCACCTTAGTAATGATTGTTGCATTTTACGGTCATCTTGATCTGTTTTCTCATCGTTCACATCGAACGTAATAGAGAAAGGGGAGTTTGTTCGGTTCTGTCTACCCATGTCGGTGACCTTTTTCGTTACCCTCTATCATGTAACAAGTTGAGGTTATTGTTAGTTTGTATATTATTTGTAAATCGTAACAAAGGTAAAAATAAATAATTTCCAGGGGTAAGGGGAAAACTTTATCTGTCTTTCTAAACGTCTTTGAAAGTCTAGAACAGTGTTACTCGATCTCCAACAAATCGTCGCCCCCTTCAACGTAGTATCGCCCCTTTCAATAAGACCGTTACCTAGTACCGCCCTCTTCACTACAAAATTTCGATGCCGAGGGCCAAGACTAACGCATAATTCGTACTACATTGAATACACTAGTGACTAGTTAAATGTTATTTGTTTAATTATTGTACGATATAACGAATACAATATCTAATTATTCTTAATAGAATGTTATACTATATCGCCCATAAAATTGTTTTTCGCTCCCAAAATATAAAAAATGATACTGAAAAAAATGAAATTGAAGGAAAAACAAAATAATGATAAATAATAAAAATTCGTTTCCAGTTTAAAACTGACAAAAGAGCCTACATTCTCACATTACGTTAATTTTTGCATATACTAAACTACAGTATTTCATATGTACGTGATTTCATATAAATTTTAATACTTAATTAAGCTAAATGAAAATTATTTTCATAATTTAGGTAATTTTACAAATATTCTAATGATAAAAGAATTATGAAAGATTCTTTTTAACTACTTCCAAAACTGCATTTGTTATTTGCTTTTCTTCGCTGTGAAATGTCAGCTGCTATTGCTGACGTGTAGTTTATTGTAAATGCAGATTAAATAAAAATTATAAATTGATAATTTTAGAAAATTATAGACTTGAAAATTATATTTTGCTCATTAAAATCTATTTTTATTTTTTTTTATAAAGGGTTGAAACTTTTATGCATTTCTGATGAAAAATCTTGTTTAAATAACTTGAAACAGAAAAGTATAAAACGAATTCTATATTCTTTTGCCTTTGAATACTCTTTATTTCTTGTGTTAAAGAAGGGTTCAAAATTTAGAGATTCGAATTGATACTGACTTAGGCTTTGTATCGTTTATTTTAATTTTAATACACAAATACCGAGATTTACTCTACGTGAAAACATTCTTTAATTTGACAGATGATATAAATATGTANTAGAGGAGAAGGTGGTATTATGGAACACTGAGGGTATTATGGAACCACCCCATTTCGAACTGATAATAAATGCGAACTGTAGCGGAATGTGGCTGAACTGAACTAGGCAAACATCCATAGCAAGGGGAAAACCCGTTTTACTTCAGTTAAACGGTTGTTCGCATTTAATTAGCAAATTTGTTTTTTCAAAATTCGCAAGTTTTGAATGCTAAGTGAATTTAATTATTTTTAAAATATAAATCGTGTAGTTATAGGTTTGCTGGTGCACGTATTCCATTCCAGAGACTTAGGGGTACATATTAATCTGTGTGATGTTCACGTTTTTTAAATTTTGGTTTTGACAGACATAAGTTAATTCAAGAAGCGATGCGTGAAATACGGACCCCATTGGTGCTTTTACAGAAATATGGAACGCAACTCTTCCAAAGTTTCTATTTGCAAGCAGACATTTGTCCGGAGCAATTTGTGAAAAGGACACTAGGTAAAAAGCCAATTCTTCCCGAGAATATCGAAAAAGAGCTGCTGGAATATATATTGTTGATGGAGGTCATATTTTTCTATTATAAAAGCATTTTTGCGATAAAATACATTGGAGTAAATAATTTGGTAATTATTTAACATTTTTTGTCCTTTCCTATTTGTTTTTGGCTACATTAAAGCATTTTTTTGAAAATATACAGTAAGGTTCCATATTACCACCCGATTTTCTCTAAGCCTACTTTCGGACTTTTTGTACAAAAGCCTTCAAAAACCATACTTATAATTACACTAGCGAAAAATCCAATTAGGAACATTTAGTTTACTAGTTACCAGTACTTTTCGCACAAAAAATGTGGGTGTAGTTATGATACCTTGTTTACAATTCACTAAAATGTAATTGGGGTTTCATAATACCACCTTCTCCTATATTCATTGTTATGTAAATATTGTATTTAAATTCATTATCTATTCCAATTGAAAAAAAGTTAGTTACAATTGACTGTTTTAAATATATTCCTCGATAAAAGCAGATTTGTATCAATATGTTTTATTCTTAAGTTTGAAATTTAAGTAAGAATTAAGCGAGTTTCTGAATGTCAATTAAATACAGGCGATCTTCTTTGGAAATTTCTTCACGCCTGAATTAATGCCATTTGTTGTAAGTTATCGATAAATAGGTAATTATAGCAAAATAAAAAATTGTTTTAAAGAATTATTGGCTGCAGTTTACATAAATTGTAAACCTATAAATATTTTCTGTGTCTGTCCTTTCTTAATTAATCTCGAAAACGGAGTTATATAGATGAAAATCTAAACCAGACACGAGATATCTTTTATGTTTGCCCTTATTATCTATTTAGGAACGTCCCATACAAAACTGAATGTATTTTAATTCAAGCATTTTCCTCTGTAAGGAAATAAATAGAAGACGACATGTCAATTGCTACAGTAAAAGTACGATATACAGAGGAAAACCACTAGTAATATGTGGTGGAGAACGTATTTTAAATTAAATATATTAAAAATACGATAAAAAATTGTGTGATGAATTGACAAAAAAATAACTTCATGTTAGTATATAATTTTTTCAAAAATTTTAAATAACCATTTTCCTCAGAAAACATTTCAAATCTAATCAAACTTTAAATAAGGACTTCATAATTTTATTTGTAAACTTTAAAAATATTTTAAAAAGAACGTGCGTAGAATTTACAACCGAAACAGGTGCAAATATCGCGCTGTATATCTATGTGACGTCAAATCACTACTTGTACATATTAAAATATTAGTGTCAGAGAAGATAATCCAATTGAAGTCTCAAATTGCGCATTCTCTTTTGCTTTTCAGTTGCAAGTTGGAATCATGATTAAGATTTTGCTTCCATTTTTTATTTTAAGTACTGTACTTATTTATTTATTTTTCCATGTTTTTAGTTTAGTGAAATTTGTTCTTTTAAAATATTTTTTCACGACATTAATATTTATTATTTATTTGTAATTTATTTTTAAGCTTTAATTCCAAAACAACCCGGAAATTGTGTGCTCGATTCAATTGTAAAAATTGTGAAGGAAAATCTTGATTTTGACAATTTATTTCCTCAAGTAACTGACGAGTTGAAAGTAGCACTTGTTGTAAGTAAAAACGTTTAATTAATATAAGTAATTAATATTATATAGCGTTTCAATTTGCTTTTGTGTTATTATAGAAACTTGGTCTGTTCTTGCTATTTCTAGAGCTAGGATATTTATCTACTAAATGCTATATAAATACTTATAGCACTTATCAGTTTACGTCTCAGTATGACAAGTCATATTTATTACAATAACCTAAAGTATCTTTGTAAAAAAGGCAACTTATGTATTCATTATTCATTTTTGTATGCCAAGATTCTGATAAATATTTTTGGAAGTAATGTTACTCGTACATAATCATGAAAAAAACCAATTGAAACAATTATTATTTCGTATTAATTTAGAAAGTGCATTTTTAATAAAACAATTTCGATAATTATCATGACATAATTCGTTTGTAATGACATTTTACGTGTTTTAATTAATTAACAATGCTTTAACTGCAATTTTTGATTAATATTCTTTCAACAATCATCTGTATTGATAGGTAAACTTTTATTGAAAGGTATATTTAATAATTACAGTTCTCTTTATTAACTAGGAATTATACGTCCAAATCTTAAAAAGTAGTTTTTTTAAATTTCAGTCTTTCTTGATATTTTCAGAATATAACAGCTGGGTTACCGCAATGTCTGGATTCGAGTAAGTACCCTTCCCTCGGCTGTGAAAACGAAATAGACGGCGGAAGTAACGTGATGTCAATTGTAACAAATATGTCGTGTCTGTTAAAGAAAGTTTGTTACAAAAATAATACGG